CTGCGTCGGAGCTGCGCTGTCCCCTCCAGCTCCATCTCTACCTCCTTCTTCGTCTCCATCCTAACGGACCGCCATCCCGGCGGGTCCGGCACACTCCCCCTGTGGCGCCGCCTCAACCCCTCCCTGTGGTCGAAGAAGATCGTACACGGAAACCCTCCTCCGCTGGCCTTAAGGCATCTCCAAATCGTCTGTGCCAGACTCCCAAACGACCGGCGCCTGTGACGGTCGCTGCGTTGTCGCTGCCCTCACATCCTCCCGCAATATACGTGCAGCCATGCTCCTCCCGGGGGGCGCACTGTGCTCGGCGTGGTCGGCGGTGGCCGCTGTACGCCCTGCAGTATGTGGCAACGTCGCCTTAGCAGGTGCGCTCATGGGCTGATCCATCGCTCGGTCGGAGACCCTCTCCTGCCATCCTGCTGCGTCTGCAACAACGTCCCCGCTCAAGATCGCCCGTGTCCGCGGATGTAAACCGGCCAACCCAGGATGACTCGCCCGCATCATCTGCGTCATTCTCCTCACGGTACTAAGACTTTTCCCTGCTCTCATCTTCTTCTTCCGTGACAGAGGAGAAGGAGACTCCTCGGCGGGTGTCGGCGAGGGGCCCCGTACCGCCTCTGCCGCGACTGTGCCCTCCACATATGCGGGTCTGCTGACACCTGTGGTGGACGATGGCACTGACGGACTGCAAGGCACGTAAGTCGGGGCCTCTGCCATCAGTCTCCTTGACGCCTCGGTCATCCGCCCCCGGCGATCTGCCTGCAACGGGTCCTCCCGTGCCTGCCGCTCAAACTCCCCCGCCGACATGGCCCCACCGAGAGGCAATACGTAAACACCCTGAACTGGYGACGCAGGTCTCTCGCCCGCATCCCCTATGCCCGCAGCGCCGCACTCGCCCTCTACATCACCTGCCTCAACGCCCGTCTCGAGCATCCGCGCTACACGTGCCCTCAATGCAACACTCTGCATCATCTCGCAGCGGCTAGCCAACCCCTTCGCCCTCCTCCTCTCCTCGAGGTCGATCTTGTCCTGCTCAGACTCTGTCGCCCGCTCCTGCACAGGTCGACACTCCCCATCATCCCCAGCTGCACGCTCGTGCTGCCCCAACACCCGGTGCCCCCTCTGCTGCCTCCTGCAACATGCTACTACTGATGTCGCCCGTGCTGCATGAAGGTATGTCACGAAGTATTTGACTAACGGGCGTGGCCGCTGCGTCCACACCGACACCGACACGCTCCCCTGTTCGTTTCAGAGGATGCCCTAACGAAACATAAAAAATGTTGTCGCTGAAACTGACACCCACCTGTGCAAATGGCCTCCCAACCTCTCCAGCATCACCACTACCACCCGCAAACCCGCCTGGACCCTCCGCAGATGCAGTTGCGCCCTCTGCAAACACCGCAACGAACTCTGCAGGGGAGGGAGCAACCTCCATAGGGGAAGGAACAACCACAGCTGCCTCTGCGGGCCTCTCCTCGTCAACCCAATGCATAGTGCGCGTGGACGATGCAGACTCTTGCCTTACTTTTCCTGTGCCAGCACGCCCTGCACCACCTGTGCGCCCTGCACCCCCAACACCCGGCCCGCTGCCTCCCCTGCCTGTAGCACTGCATCGGTCGCCACGCTGTCTCTCAGACTTCCGCAAACCACCCTCAGCCCGTCCACCATCGCCGCCCTCGTCGTCGTCGTCGTCACCTTGTCCGCGAGTCGGGGAATAACAGGGATCATCCTCATCCTCACTGCTGCCCTCATATCCCTCCCTATCGTCGCCATCACCATCGTCTGCCTCGTCGACACGCTCGCGAGTCCCTCCCTGTCCGCAACGATTGGTCCAAGAGTGTGGCGTATTGCTCTCAACATGGTCTGTCGGGCCTGGCTGTGAGACGTCGGGAGCACTCGAAGGAGGGGGTGCTGCGGGAAACGGTGCAGCGGCCGACGTGGACGCACGTGTGCGAGGACGCGGAATCTGGATGAGAGGAGTGTGGTCGTCATCGTCATCAGAACCTCCTGGCTCTGTTTCCATGGCCAAGTCATCCGGATCGGACCACGGCTCGGCCTCCATCGCGTCATGAGCCATGGGATCAGGCTCGGGATCGTACACCGACTCCAACTCATGCGCCATGAGCACCGTGGCGTGACGACCAAAATACGTCGCGACGCTGGGAGGTGTCTTTGAAAGGCGATCCTTCCGCCCGCGCTGGACCTGTCGGTCGCGCTGTGCCTCGGTGACTCGGTCAGCCGGCCTAACACCCTCATCACGAGGAAGAGGAATAGCGTTCTCTGTCTCCTCCTCAGCGTCCTCCTATGGAAAAACGTACCCAGAATCCCTCCCCTGACAACGACTCAATCTCAAGTTGGTGGATATCTCCACCAAACGAGTTAGCTTGATGAAACCAAGCTGATTACGCCTCTTCACCTGAACACGCTCATGGACGGCCCAATTCCTCTCCGCCGGAGAGGCGCACGTCCATGTGTGCGACAAGCGAATGGCGATGCTCTGAAGGAGAGGGACCCCGTCCCCGTGCTGAACCCACCACTGCCCCACCTGTGACGTCTCCTTCTCCCCTTTGCAGGCGGCGCATCCCTGTCTCCCTCGGCCCCTCCATACGTCCAATCGCCCTCCCGAGAATGAAACTCCGCCAGCTGCGTGCGCAACGTCTGATACAAATCCTCGTCACCACCAGTCTGCTGGCGAAGATATCGCAACGACTCGTCTGCCAGTATCCGCTCGTGGTCGGTACGCCTCGCCGCTCCAAAAAATGTAATGCTCCTCTGCCGCGGATTGAGGAGGTGGGCCATGCAATGAAAGGGCTCCAACATATGAGCGACCCGCGCCTGACAAGCCTGAAAAACGATGTGGAGCTCGTCCTTCGACATCCTGTTAAGGCTTGCTCTCGCCACCCTGTCGACCATGACAAAACCCCATGACCACATTCGAGTCATCACGCGACCCCCCCTGTCCAGACGCCATAGCAACTGCATCACAGACGTCATGAGCGCCACGATGTTCTCCACAGCTCCCAGAATGGCGCGTACCGCACCTGATGACGCAGCCATCTGGCCTGCAGAAAAATGGACCTCCTCCATGCAGTCCGCAGCCAATCGTCGCTCATCATCAACGCCTCCAACGCTCTGCGACGATCCAGAAGCCTCTCCAGCATCAAGTAGTGGGGGGCAAACCTTGTCTGCACAGGGTACACAAGCTCCCTGCCTCGTCGCTGAGACGAGGGCGGCGCAGATCTCGAACCACCAGCCGCCGCGGAGGCGGAAGAGGGGTGGGCGGCAGAGAACTGTCGATAAAGGCTCAGAGCCGCCCCGTGCTCTCTGATGAAACGCACGACAGCTCGAGACCTGATGATGGTGTCCTCCCTCTTCCCGAGGCTCCCGTCGCGCCCATCCTTCGCGATGTCTGACAACAACAAGTTGAAGACATGGGCCGCACACGGAAGCCAAGTGATGCGGCTGTACTTGACTTCCTCCTGGGCTAGGAGCTTGGATGCAGCAACATACGCAGACGCGGAATCAGTACAAATGGCGTTCACCTTGTTGACACCAAACTTGTCGAACACATCCTTCCATCGCTCCACTACGGCCTCTGCTGTCTCCTGAACAACACCATCCCGCTGCACAGTCCTGAAAAGTTACGTGCCTGTGGGACCAGCCGCAAGGAAGTTGACTATCTGGTCGCTCGTGATGGACTTCCGACCATCCGTGAGGATGGTCGCTCCCGTCGCCTCAATGTCCCTGCGGATGGCCGCCACCATGTCCGCCACAACTCGTTGCTGCTGAGGGATGCCTTCGCACGAAATGACACGGTGCGTGGGTAATGCCGGATGTGCATACGGCAGACACTCGAGCAACTTCTTCCTCATCCTATGATACTCAGGCCTCCTCGCCGCCTCGAATGGGATGCTGCTCACGTACCACCACTGTAGGATGGAGTCCGAGAATTCTCGTTGCCACACTGGATCGAAGGTATCCTGCATGGACGTCTGTCGAAGAACTTTGCTCTTTTTGGGCTGAGAAGGTGTTGATCTCGCCTCAGTGGTAGTCATCTTCACCTTCCTCTTTCTCTTTTTCGATCCCGCAGCCTCCTTCATCGCCCTAGCTGCCCCCTCTTGGCCACGACGACCATCGCCCATGAACCCCCCATCCAATGAGGCCCCAAGGTCTGCTCCCTCATCTTCATCATCGTCGTCGGCGTCCTCGTCAGGGGTGCTGTCCTCGTCAACGGCTTCTCCTTTCTCAGCTTTCCCCTGGCACGCTCCACCTCTCGCCGCACCTCCGTGTCCTCTGCATCACTCTCACTATCATCATCTCCACCCTCGACCTCCCTCCTCTCCTCCTCGCTGTCCTCAAACTCCTCATTCCCCTCTGCCTCCCTCCCCGATCCACATCTGTTGTCTCGCAACCCATGAGACTTCAGAAAGTCCACGATCTTCCGTGCATGGCTACTTTGTCTTGTTCCATATCTCCGCCATCTGCTCCACGGAGATTTTGGCGCATTTGTTCTTGATCGTGAAGTGCTGTGCGGCTTTTGTCTGGCTCCCCTGAAAACCCTAACCACACAGCTTGCACTCCATGAGGAAATTGCCATTCAAATTCGGCATTGTCTGCCCATTCGTAACCCACTTAAAGCCGCAAAACTTCAGCTCCGCCTCCTTCTGCTTGTCTTAACTGACCGGAAAGAATGGCTGATCTCCCCTCCCTTTCTTGGGCGCCATTGTAGCCTTGCAGGTAGCCCACCGCCCACAGATGCCAGAGCGGAGCTCAGTGGACAGCGCCAAAGCCCGTACTGCCGAGGCCTGTCCCCCTTCAAACCCCCGCCCCAAACGGGCCCGGCACTCGAAAACCGAGCAAGGCCCGACCACCAGCCCGTTTAGGCGTACGGGCCGTACGTACGGGATGCTGCGTACGTACGCTCGTACGGGCCGTACGAACGGGTGCCGCCGTACGTACGGGCGTGTGTGCGTGGCGTCCGCCGCTGCTGCGCCGCGTGCCCTCCCGGAGAGTTGGCCTCTCCCCTTGGTCGCGCCGCCGCCGCCGTCGCCGGAACCGTCGTCGTCACGTTCGCCGCCAGCGTTGGTGGGATCTCTCTCTCTCTCTCTCTCTCTCTCTCTCTCTCTCTCTCTCTCTCTCTCTCTCTCTCT